ATACAAAGAGGATCTTTTGGTTCATTTACAGTATCAGTATTTTAGGCTGTATTAGAACGAAAGGCAGAGACGAGATGCAGGGTACTGTGGGTCCAGCAGCTATTTAGCTGTTTCTCATTCATGTCCATACACCTACTGAAAAGGTTCTGATATGCTATTACCTCTTTGGAGACTGAGGAAGAGAAAAGAAGAAACATCACTCCTTTCATGGGTTCTCCATCACTCCTTACTGACCCAGAAACATTGTAGCCAGCAACGATAAGAGGGCTAGCAGCATAAGCATTAGAACTGGTCACCCGTACCACTGTATTCGACTGAAATACAGAAACATATACATGTTCATTAAAAGCAGGTGTTCAACCTTATTTACAGCACCTAAATAACTATCAGATACTACTATATTCAACAGCAGAAATACAAGCCAGAGCAGCAGCATTCAAAGAGGGACCATGGGCTAGTCAAAAGAAAAAGAGAGACTAAATCAAAGATACTTCTGTAAAACAGTTTTTTTACTGTAGAAATCGGTCAGGATTGTCAGAGCTCCTCAGAAAGCAAGCAGTCCGAGAGGGAAGGATTAGAGCACTGCTACTAATCTCCAAGCTCCTGCAGAACGTACTAGATTAGAAGACCTAAGGCAAGAGCTCGCTTGTCAGTCCTTCCCTGGCTGGCTCCACACTCTCCAAGCTAGGTCTCCCTAATTTCTTGCCTTCCTAAATGAAATTTAGGAAAACCTCATTAAACTTGTCCACTTGCGCAAGCCCTCACTTGGGACAATCAAGACAAAGTCTAGTTGATCCACCTTCACTAAACACGAACTCTCATAGGCTCTAACCTCTTTCAACGTCCAGGTAGGATGAGATGCAAAGATTTCATATTCGCCAGGAAGCACTTTAAAGAAAGCAAACCTGTACGACAAGAAAAGGGTTACGTTCCTTTAGAAATAGTCATAAACATTTGTTTACATAAAAACAACTCATACTGTCTGCATACGTTAGAAAAAAAATTTCAGAACTCCTATAATCCCAACCGACTTAGCAGAACTGAAAGCCTGCTCTGTAAATAAACAGATGAATAAAGTGCGCGCACCCATGCATACTCCCACACTCACTTTCCTCCAGGATGGGTAACAGTTGCTTGTATGTTTATGTCACTGCCAGCATTTCTCAGTACAACCTGGACTCCAGCAGGACCTAACGCCTGACCTTTGCTGAGAACCTGTCAAAATGAAGAGAAACCAAAGTATAAACAGATAAAAGCAACTGGCAGAGCCAAAGAAGAATGTTTCTGTGAAGGCAGAATTAACACAGGATGGAATAAAAAAAAATAAAGGACTCTAACCTTTCCATTCACAGAAAACCCAGTAAACACAAAGTTAATATCGCCTCCCTTTGTGCAAATGTCATTAATGCCATCCACATGGATGTCTACACTGGTTGGTTCTGCAGGTGAAAAACAATGAAACAGCATGGTAGTTAGGGATGGAGGAATCACGGTGCGTTTCTACTTGAGCTTTACAAAACTTTCACAGAAATACACTAACTCAAGCATCCCAGTTCTGCTCTGGAAGTCTTTTCTCGCCAAAGTTCACCACCATAAATGCAAATGTTGAAAATGCTCTTTCTGCCTCCCGTTACAGCAATGTTTGTCAAAATCCCACGTTCCCTTAACGCAGTTCAGGAGTCACCCTCTCAAAGTCTATCTCACAGCTTTATTTTCCTCCTGTACAATAAGTACCTTTTAGTTACTTAAAACCATACAGGAGGGCTTATCTCTTTTGAAAAGCACTTGATTTTCCCTCCCAACTGCAAGCTAGGCATAGTTGAAGCCTCACATTGCCAATAAACTGCCCTACTGTAAAAAAAAAGATATGACCCTACTGTAAAAAAAAGATATGACCACTTACCGAAACTCCACCCTAGGGGAGGCTCAATCTTAAGAATGAAGTCCCCCTAAAAATAAAAAAGCAATAACCATCTTCACTGATCTCAAAGCAATTTAACTAAAAGATGAAAAAAAAACAAAACACAACAGAATGCAAGCATCACGCTGCAGAGAATAACACAAGAGTCAAGTGTCCCATTCTCCTCTCCTCCTACCTAGGATACTCTGTTCAAAGAAGCAGCAATGTCCGCCCAGACAGGCTGGGATGCTGGGCTCATGTCCAGCCAGCTAAGAGCAAGTATTGATCAGCACCATGCTTACACAGCTTCCAGACCAAACTCCTGCCCCAGGAGAAGTGCCTGAAATAAGCCTTTAGTATTTTCATAGGGGGTCTTACTCAACCACTCCGCCCAAATATGAGATACGAAAATTTCAGTTCTTTCAAAAGCTCTGCACCAAAAGGGCATCAGGCTACACAGAGATCCTCTCTGAATCAGTGGCCCCACACACATTCCGAAGTTCATCCATGAGGAGACTCAAAGACCTAAGAATGAAACCACTGCGATCAGAAAGCGTCCTACGTTCTCAGATTTGGAAGGGAAGGAGTTATTTCTTTTCCGTAAATTAACCAGCTCTTTAAAAGAACAAAAGATGTGGGCCCTCTGAGGCCAGTTTCTATTTAATTTGAAGAGAAGTGTTTTTTCTAGTATAAACAGCCGAGAAACTTCTGAGATATTCTGAGCTTCCTATTTCATTATTTTCATGTTTTGAGACGTTTTAATAGCTGCAGTCGGTTGTTCAATTATTTTCATTTCGCTCATAACAAAAACATACCCTTATACAGCAGATTTACTTTCATTTCTATAGGTAGAAAACGGAAAGCTTTGCATGTACACAGTCTGTGAGAACCCGTACTTTTTCGTTCAGTGTTTGTACAGCTGCTAGCAAGCACAACACAGTTGTTGCCACTAACTAACGCTCCCAGCGCTGCAGCTGTGCACATAAATAGCACAAAGACACAGCTAAAGCTACCTGTCCCTTCTCATGGTAACAGTCAGCACTAAGAAATAAAACACTGGCACTACAAAAAGCAGCAGCAGTAAGTTTCATGCAGCTCTACAGGATGCACTGAATCAAAGGTCTGCGGGGCGCGCTGCTCGAGGGACACCGCACCCCAGCAGGAGAGGAG